ACGTGGAGATTTTCCGCAAAGCAACTTACGCCGTTCAAAGTATAAATTTCAAAAGTACTCGTTCCAGATGCCACACAGATGTGGCCAGGACTCTCTGTTCAGGAGCATTCAAACACACTGCAACACAGACACTCCAAGAGAAGAACAAAGAAAGATACCTCCTCATTCCGGCTGCGCCGGCAAATTCAACAAACGTACTCCGACCCAAAGAAAGGAATGTGCAACAGGTCGAAATCAAGAACAAGAATAACTCCATTGTTCCAGAAGTCCAAATGCAACATAAACCAATCAACTACTTTCGGTGAATACTTTTAGAACCAAAGGAAAGACAAAAAGCAACATTCTGTGTGACGAAAGCCTGAAATACTGTATTGGTCAAACTGGATGAACATTATCACTAGGAATTGAGCACCAGTTGGCCATCCGGAGGTATGACCCACGTCCACTGAAGTCTCTCCTTCAACATCAAGAAGGATGAAGGCTTCAGTTTGTTTCGGCATGGTCACAGAATTCCTCAAAGCTTGGCATTCGCCGATCAATTCAGTGTTCGTGCACATGCCGATTCAAAAATCAAACGAAGCAACAAAAACAGGGTTAATCGAAACCCGATGACGGATCTAAGGATTACAATCCAGCCGAAAGACCACTCTTCTATTTTTGTGCCAGTTCAGCAGCAGGCTGGATTGAGAATGGTGACCCAGAAAAGAGCACCGAGGAAGAACCTACGTATGCAAGTGAACGGACGAAAGCAAAACACTGCTCTATTATCGCGCGCATAGAAAGTAATACCACGACTAGCGATAAAAAGTTTGATAATAAATTGCCGAGCTCGGTGAACAAGCAAAGATGTCGGTATATAGCGAGCTCACAGCCATTTGTCATTGTTAGTGTTTAGATACTCGAATGGTTGTTTGTACGTACCGTTCATTTGACTTCGAAACAACCTCTTTCAACCTCTTTCAGACGGAAAGAGCCTGTTACCCTCTATTTGGATACACCGAAGAACGTGACAGTGACCCCTAAACGTTTCTATTTCTAGCCATTTTTTAGCAGATCAGACCGGTTGAAGTGTGTATGTGCAAATAAACAGGAGATTTTTGTCCAAAGACAACAGAGTCCTGGTTCGCTTTATGGCCTTCTTACCCATCCAAGTCCCTTTCCCGCTCACTTTAGAGATCAGTATTTACTTCCTTTGTGTTTTATTTGCAATGCACAGATGACGATGATGATGATGACACTTGCAGCTTTATCATACAGTTATTCATTCCGTCATGTGATAAACACAAATTGCAATCGGTATGTTCGCTGAACCGAGATCATTTAAAACACATGATACTCACGAATCACGTGAAGCGTGGAAAGTCACTGTAGAAGATATTTCCACCATAGTGTTGTTTGACCTGTGACTTTTTTCTGTTCCGTGTTTCGTGCTCGCGATTGTCGAATCCGTTTTCTAATCTGTGTCCGCGGGTATTGGTTATCGGTGAAATATAAGTGCACTTCATGTTAAACGGCTGATAAAAAATGTCTAATATGAATGTAATCCCAACTCTCGCAGCGCACCGGAATGGACAGAAATGTGCGACAGGATATCCCTCTGCTAGTACTCTCGCAGCTCGAGACGATACGAGACTTTGCGGATGATGGTAGGTTGGCGAGGAAATACTGCCACTCAGGTCCTCCGTGAGTCGAGGTAGAACAATAGTGTACAGAAGATTTTGGCATTTGCGGCTATTAGGCTGATTCCTTTACAAGTGTTGCACATAGATTTAATGCCTTTTTCTGGTTCGTCAGTAAGATGACCAGCCCCCAATGGGAACACTTCGCTACCTCGTGTTAATACCTGTTTTGGTCGTCGCTGTTGCTTAGGCTGGTCTTTGACGTTCCGGCCGATAAGTGCTATTTCTTTGAGGAAATCCAATTTTTCCGTCGGCTTGTAGCACTGCGCACTACGGTGCAAGGATTCTCTCAACTGTTTTGCTGTCTTGTCATTGTTCGTCCATAACTGACACTTGTGAACTGACTTATTATTGACGAGACCCGAATCAGTCGTTTCCATCAACGTTGAAGGCCGAAGTTTTCATTCTACTCTTCGAGCGGGGTTTGAGGCGATTAGGGAGTTGAATTTTGCATCGAGCGCACTGGAGGACAGTGCGTGCCGTTGGCCTAGGCCAATTTTCCCTGGCATTTGTTGACGGGATTCACCCAAAGGGTCTTTGCTGGCATTCCAGTCTTTTGCGGCAAACGTAATGCCACGTCTTTTTATCCCCTTGTTTGCAAAATCCATCATTTTATTTGGTTTTTTCGGCATTTTTGCAGCCTTTATCTCAGTTATTGACAAATGTTTGGGGAGTCGCTTGAGAAGTTATTGAGTCCCAAACGATTGGAGAGCTGTGGAGCCCCAAATTGTCGTGGGATGACTGTAGTACAACTATTAGCTAGACTCTACTCCATTCTTTGATACGCCTGGATTCAATATTTGGTATCCGAACTTCCGAAGGCCATGTGATAGTCATAGAGTGTGCTCATAGTGATGCTTCGGCGTCTTGAAGTTATTGGTATTTGCACGTTTCGTTATGTAATACGATTTCCTCTTTTATTCGAGATTGGATTTCTAGTTCGCTGTTTTTTCAATCCGTCGAATGAAAGAGTACGCAGCACGTCGCTTCTCGGGTACGCTGTAGGATTGGAAACAAGAACGCTCATGAGAAAAGTCACGGGAATGCGATATGAAGGAGGATAAATCTCTAGGAGAAACCAAAATTATAAGTGGAAATTTTTGGGTGACGGTTCCGAAGTGTTGAATCTGTTTTACCGGTTCCTCCCAATGTTTCCATCCTGCNCCGCCTTTCTCGATTAACTTTGATCCACAGTAGCTTATTTTCACATGAGCTTACACAGGCGCCCATGTTTGCACCACTTGATTCGATTCCTTGTTCACTTGGCATCCCACCTCCCCTATGTCGGCACCCACTGCTAGTTCATGTTCGATAATCTGACCGTACAATTGCCTCTCCACAAACATGCACACTCAAACACACGCACCCCTGTCCCCCTGTCTCAAACACGCACCTTCCCCGGCACATGTTCCCTCGTCTAATCTAATGTGACTTGAACCCTTTGACCTTGTGCTCCGACTGTGATTGGACAGTCATCGTGACAGTTGGTCATGTGTCTACCCTTATTACTCGTGTCTTTACTTCGTCCCGCCAGTTTCGCTTTGTTCGGCCACTGAAGGTTTTGTCCGCTCGATTGGCTCTAGTAGCTGTTACCTGTATCAGCCTAGATCGATTGACTGTTCGGTGAACTCCCTGTGAGAACGCCATGAATTGAGGTTTGTACCTGTAATTGCGATGTAATCATTATTTAACTATAGTGCCGCATTTATTGTACGCTAGTAAACCAATTGTACCTAGTTTGATTCCGTCTTTTGGTTTGGCGCGTCACTCAACCTTGGCCTAGAACCCCAACAGATCTAACACTAAGAAACAGACATGATAATAATTCAACGAGGTTGTTTTCTATTATTCTTTCCAGGTTGTTCTTTCACACATTCCACCCAGTGCGGATTTTTTCACACGTGTGAAAAATTTACTCCGCCCATGCACCAATTAGATTCTATGCTTTCACAAAATCCCCATGATTTAATCTGAGCTAACTCGTACGCGCCTCGTGTTATTCTGACTTATTTGCACAGCTTGAGCGCCGAGTCCTGCTTCCACAAAAAGAGTTTCGTCGCACTCTACCCCGCATGATCTCGGCTGGCTACATAGCGACCACAGTAAGTAGTTCCGCTTGTTTTGTATTCCCTTAAATTTTGTCTTTTTAAATACGTGCGTAGGTTTGGAGAATTATGGGCTACGGTCAGCTGATCTTTTTCTCGTTAACTTGTTATGTTGATTATTTCTTTCATGACAAACTTAAAATCTGTGATTTTGTAGCTTGGAGTCCAATTACTTGACAGGCTGGCGGTTAAACCCGATATTTAATGTAATGAAATATTTTCTAATCATTTTCTGTGCATGCAAACAACTACTGTTGAATCCCTTATGCAGTTCGCCTGCGTCACGCAATCTGATTGTTTTTCTTCTGTTTACAGGAACTTTCGAAGACTAAAGAATATACATCAGAGACAATCATTTGCTTATACTCGATCAATTTGACACGTATTGCAAATCTGCTCATTGAACTGTCCCAACATTCCGCTCTACGTATTGCCATTCGTGCCAAGCATGAATTTGAACAGAAAAAGTAGGTTATTTCGTCACGAACGGTTTCTCGTTTTTCGCTCACACAGTGCCTGTGTTGTATGGTTTTCTTTTGGTGATGTTTTTGTGCGATTGGTTCACAAGTGTATCAATCGTCTTTGTTACAGACGACTTATCGAACAGCGTTATCGTGTGGAAACTTTGATCGAGAAACATCAGTCGAAACTGGCTGTTCTTGAAAAAACAACCGTGGAAGGTAGTGGTGATGATAACACAGACGATGCCGACTTGGTTACACAGCACAAAGAGAGTTTGGAATCTCTTAAATCGAGCATTACACCAGCTGAACAGAAACAACTCATTCATCTAACTTCCAGACTAGCAAAGTAAGTCACACATTACACTTCTGTCGTTTTTGACACTCACATTTTCCGATGCAATGAAGTTGTGTGACAGTCGA